GCACAAGGCCCAGGTCTGCGTCCTGCAGAGTGACACTGCCAATGCCAGCACCCTGCCACATTGTCTCAGTGTCCTGCACACACAGAACCCCAGGGCAGCTTGTTAAAATGCAGATTCTGCTGCCGTAGGTCTGGGGTGCTCCCAGGAGAGACGGAGGCCACTGCATCCCAGGGGTCTTCCTCATCCTCCAGGCCCTCCCCATGACACCCCTGCCTCTGTTTCTCTTCTAGGCCTTTCCAAGGACTCATCCCAAAGCCTGGTAAGAGGCACTGGCTGTGGAGGGGCACTGGGAATAGGGCCCAGTCATGGTGCTGGGGGCTGGAGCTAAGCCTGCTGTGGGGCACAGGTTCTGGGGGCTGGGAACAGAAGCCAGGCCCCTGCCTTTCTTTTTTTTTTTTCTGTGGCAGAGTTCTTTTCTGTCAACCAGGCTGGAGAGCAGTGGTGTGATCTCAGCTCACTGTAACCTCCACCTCCCGGATTCAAGCGATTCTCCTGCCTCAGCCTCCTGAGTAGCTGGGATTACAGGCAACTGTCACCACGCCTGGCTATTTTTTGTATTTTTAGTAGAGACAGGGTTTCACCATGTTGGCCAGGCTGGTTTCCAACTCCTGACCTCAAGTGATCCACCTACCTCAGCCTCCCAAAGTGTTGGGATTACAGGCGTGCGCCACCGTGCCCGGCCTAGGCCCCTGCCCTTCTGTTTAGCCACCTCACCTGGGCGCCTGACCCAGGTAGATGGAGGAAGGCGAAGCTTGAATGTGGCCCCACATCCTGGGGAAGAGAAAGGAGTGGTGGTACCAGTGATTTCTAAGTTTTACCCAGTCTGGGTTCAGGAGGGAGGGGTCAGGCCAGGTCAGTGTGCCCACTCCTGATAAAGGGGGTCTGGTTGACCTTAGTGAATAGATGAGGTTGTCGGTGAGTGGGTTCCTAACCACAGAAGGAGGGGTGTCTCCATGGGAACTGCAAGCGTGGTGGTAAGATGTGGGGGGTGTCTACCCCGCCTTCAACAGTGCAGTGCCTCTCCTGACCCTTTTTTGTGTTTTATATGTGTGTGTGTGTGTGTATATATATATATTTTTTTTTTTCTTTTTTTTTTGAGACCAAGTCTCACTTTGTTGCCCAGGCTGGAGTACAGTGGCACAATCTCTGCTCACTGCAACCTCCATCTCCCAGGTTCAAACGATTCTCCTGCCTCAGCCTCCCGAGTAGCTGGGATTATAGGCACATGCCACCATGGCCGGCTAATTTTTGTATTTTTAGTAGAGATGGGGTTTCACCATGTTGGCAAGGCTGGTCTCAAACTCCTGGCCTCAAGTGATCCTCCTGCCTTGGCCTCCCAAAGTGCTGGTATGACAGGCATAAGCCACCATGCCCAGCCTCCTGACCCTTTTTAAGCCACCCATCCACCTCCATGTCCACCATGGGTTGTGCCCTGCCTCCCAAACCCAGATTTGCAGAGGCTGTCCCTGCAGGGAAACATGCCACGTGGTGAGCACTAAGGACTGGCCAGAGCCTCCAGGGTGGGCCAGGCATTGTGGCTCACACCTGTAATCCCAGCACTTTGGGAGGCCAAGGCAGGAGGATCACTTGAGGTCAGGAGTTCGAGACCAGCCTGACCAACATGGTAAAACCCCGTGTCTACTTATAATCCAAAAATTAGCCAGGCATGGTGGTACGCAGCTGTAATCCCAGCTACTTGGGAGGCTGAGGCAGGAGAATCACTTGAACCCAGGAGGCAGAGGTTGCAGTGAGCCAAGATCACACCACTGCACTCCAGCCTGGGCAACAGGGCAAGACTCTGTCTCAAAAAAAAAAAAAGTACTTAGGGTACAGTGATGTGGCGGCTGCCGACAGGCCATGGGAACCCCCAGAAGGGGGATCAGGAGGGTGAGGGGTAGTTGGATCCTGGAGTAAGGAAGGCCGTGCTTGGGCCTCAGGGGAAGATGGGACTTTGAGAGGCAGAGAGGAGGGTGGGCTGTGTTTGGCGGGGTGAACGGCAGGGGTTGGGGGGTCACTGGATGCCAGAAGTGTGTTTCCGGAGCTCTCAGAGGGGCAGAATGGTCAGGTGATGTTGGAAAGGTAGAGACAGTGGAAGCTGCAGCAGCACAATGCAGTGAGTGTGGCTCTGGTGGGCACCCAGCTGAGAGGTCACTGGGTTTCTGGCCCTGCACTGGGTGCTGTATTCGGGTGCCTTTCACACGTATTTCAGGAGGTCCTGCTGGGGCAAGGCGGTGTTCTAGGAACCAGGGTTACAGCGGAGTGCAGACAGAGGAGGCATCTCATTTAGGCTTCACACCTAGGAGGTAGACGCTAGAGCCCACCTTACAGAGGGGGAAACTGAGGCTCAGTGTGAGTGACATGTTAATACTGTGTGTCCCAGGGCTAGCAGGTGGCCATGGCCCCAGCCCTCAGGGATGGCATTGGCACCCAAGCCAGGTAGCCGCCTGGAGAACCAGCTCCACTCTTACTCATGCCTCTAGTCATGCTGGGCTGGGAACATGTCCAGGCTCCTGGGAGTCTCCAAGGGTTCACCAGAGGTCACAGAGGGCTACTCCTGCACAAGCATGGGCTTT